AGAAGGAGAAGAAATGAACACAAAATGGGATCCTCAATTAGTGCGTTACACGCGTAATGTAGAAGGAATCTTTAAAAGGAAACCAACCACACGTGTGGGAAACTTGGTTGTTCTTCGTATTTGGCCCAATTTTCCTCACATGAAAAAGAAGTGACTTGTCCATGTGGAGCCCACCATCTCTTCGTTAATGTTTAAAAGATAAAGGAGGGGGGAAAAAAGTCCACATAATTTAAAACTCCATCCAGTAATGGGTAGTTGACTATGGACTTGGCCAATAAAGGTTTGCTTTATTTAACACCCAATTTGCCTAAGCTGAGTGTGAAAAACCAAAAATGGTCACTTTCCGGACTCGAGACAGTGCAATTTTCATAGTGGTTGATTGCTAAATTCTAATCAATCATTTTACCAACGCACACACAGAAGTAAACAACTACTGCCATCTCTTTTTTCCCTCTCAAGAGTCAAAGAAAGAGCTACCAATTCTGTTGATCAAGCGAGGTTTGACATTTATGGCATGCCTCAATTATGTATATGGGATGGATGTTTTACCATGGATGACATTGATTTCTTTCTAGAAAATAGTCATTGACTTGGGTGGATAAATGATGGAGAGGAATAGGATGGTCAAATATTTCCATTTTCTTGTGAAGAAAACTCGAGGTATCGGCTAATCTAGTTTGACAATCCCTAAAAATAAGCTCCACATGTTATGACTACTGTATTGACTGGCATATCCCAAATACCAAACTCATGAAGCTGACTAATAAATTTAATAATTCCTAGTAAAATATGGAAAGAAAGATCATGAACGCAACATGGCTACCTCCCCATCGATAAGTAGTTCTACCTTTTATATCTGCCCCATATTTATTGGTTATATTGAACAAAAATAGAGCCTACTAATACTTTGATGTCAGGAAAAGGAAGATTCTTACTGATATTCCACCAAGTTTTTTCTTTTTCTTTTTATATACGAAGATCGATGCATAACAAGGTATCTAGCAGTTTATATCATATATAAATTATTCAGATAGGATCATAGGAGGCATACCTTCGTGCTTGGGTAATCTTTATTTCTTTACTGCAAGCATCGAAATGAGATAAACGAAGTTTGGTTAGTAAAATTAAACCCTGCAGCACAACTTTATGATACTTTCTTCTAAATGAAAACTCAAAAGTTTTGAGAAACCTCAAGTTGATCTCACCTTCAGATCCCAAGACGTTCTTTGATGGTATAAAGGTTCAAATGAACCGGAACTAAAGCAGCTTCAGAGTCATCTCTATAGCCGTTATTGTGATAAAACCCGACGTTAGTGCATAATTTAATCTTCTTTTATTAAACACATACATCTATCACAGAGCATTTGCTTTATTTTACAGATACATGTCCACTTTGACGAGATGAAGTTGCATCTTTTCAAGTCCATAAAATTTGTCATAGTAAGTTTGCATGGTTACTTGGCTTCTGAAAAAAGATCCCAGCTTGCCCAGAAACCTGCCTTAACTAATTTCAAACACGTTCACGGAGTTTAATCATGGATAAATTCCCCACGACACTGAGAACTTGATCTAATCAGCATTTATTAACTTGTTATCCTTGGCAGCTCGTAACATCAGCTTGTACAGAAAAAAACCACCATGATGGCAGCCTGGCATTTTGGACGTCATGTTTTCTATATCAATCTGAAACAAGTGAACTCATAAATCTGTAAATCTAAATAAATAAATAAGCAAATAATGTTTAATTGTGCTCCCTATTCAAGCTCCAATCTTTTCTAATTCTAGCAAAAAATGACGCATTTAGCAAAATCCATCTCTGCATCATTCCGGAACAGGGAAAAGCATCAATCTCTGCATCTAAATTTCAACAACGGTTTTTGAATTGCACTCCAAGTCTAGCTCAGTTCTTCCTAATCCTACCCAACAAATGACGCACTAAACAAAATCTGTTTCCATAATGTGGTGAACTATTTCAAGTCAAGTTCCAATGCTGAGGGGAATATTTGATGACAACTACAACTACTACCATAGCATTTAGCAATCTTTTTAGATTTGACGGGGCAAATAAGTCTTCATTGAACCAGCTTCTTCATGGTTTCAAATATGCATTCTACCATAACCTTTTTAGGTTGAACGGGAGAATTGAAGCCTCTAGTGCTCTGGTAGTTTTGTAGATTACCATGAGAGTTCAATGGAATCGGAGCATCTTCTTGGTTATACCAAGATGGATAAAGATGGACAATCTTATCCAATCAGTTGAATCTCTGTTGGGAGTGCTGATGGGAGGTATAAAAGATTCAGCCTTGGGAAGAAGTATCACAGCAGTTGCTGAAGCCGAAGGTGTGACACAATAGTTGAAGAACTAAGAGCATTCAGTACGCACTGCCGCAACTAATGGTGCGAACTAAAGTGGGAAAAGACAAACAATTGACTGAACCTGCGGTGGTTGGAGACATTGGGAAGTTGAGTGATGCAAGCAGGTAGGGAAAGGAGAGATCACCAAGAACATTACTTGTGTTCAATAGAACAGATCCTGATGGATGGATCTTTCAGGAATGGCACTGGCCTGGTATCAATGAACAGAAAGCATCAACTAATTATGATGTGGAGTTAATTTTAAATAACTCTAATGACCCACCAAAAGCTAATCTGTGTCAACTTCAATACGGCACATCTCCCTCCAACTATAATTTTTCATGGTCAGTCACCTCCACCTATATCCTCCATGGACCCATTGTTGCAGGAACTTGATGCCATTTTGAATGATCTTGAGTACAATTAACCGAGCTCAACGACTGATGAAAGCTTCAATAGGTAGGGGACCTGGTATTTCTTAAACTAGAGCCATATAGAAAAAAGAGCGTATCAGCTAGGTGATCTGCAAAATGGGCACCAAGATTTTACGGTCTTTTTCTAGTTTTCAAAAGGGTTGAAAAGGTAGCCTTCAACTTGACCAACCTACAACAGCGGGGAACCACTCAAACTTCCATGTTTCACAGCTATGTGCACCAACTTGAACCCGCCACCATTACTCCTCAGCTTGATTCAATTCATGAGATCCAACCATAACCAGCAACAATGGTGGCAGAATGTCCATCCAATTACACCATGGGGGAACTGGATATCTTCGTTCAGTGGGAAGAAATGCAGGTAGAAGAAACTACTTCGGAAGAATTCAAGAGGATGCAGTGTCCAAACTTCCACCTTAAAAACAAGGTGAAACTCCGAGCAGGCGATATTGATAAAAATAGTAAGTGTACAGTGCATTTTACTCGAGCTCAAAGAAAGCTACGTCGGTCCATCCATACAAGGCAAGAATAGAGGGAAGTAGTGTAAGATTTAGAAGAAGGGCACACGGGAGTCTATTCCTGATGTAAATTCTGTTAGTAATAAAATGAAGTGATGTAAAGGAGAGAAGGAGTCGGTTGTTTTAGTAGGAAAGTAGTGACTTCTAGTTCTAGCTTCATTTTGGATAGCACAAGACATCTCAAATTTCTGTTAGTTCTTGTGAATTATTGTTATTAAATTCACTTCCCTAGCTCTATCGTAATTCAGATGCGTTTCAGTACATGGACACTGATAGAAAAATATTTTTATACTGACCAATGGAACTGTGTACAGTTGAGTGGACTCATAGCCATCTTGTGCACTTTTATACAATTCCTGAATTTCTAGAGACTCCAGATTGCACTTCATGAAGAAAAATGCAGCCGGTCTAACATTTAACTCTCTTCGGGATACACCAATAAAAACTGGGTTGCTCTGCATAAGTTATAAAAAGAACAAATTACAATAAATATTCTTAGAAAAGCAATTAATTGAATTGCGCAACCACAACAGATAGCTCCCACTTGAGTTCAATAGAAATAGTTAAAGAAGAAATTAGGATCCTCCTAAACAAAATACATCATATAAGCGAACTGTTAACACGAGTGCGGATTTCAGAAAGAGACCGAGTTTAGGAACACTATGCATGGAACCTGTAGAATGTGACGGGGCTTGTAACTATGTTATTACCATTCCACAGTTAAATTGATGAAATCGCCTATAGCAAAATTTTCCTATAAACATAGAGAATTTTATAAAAATATTTAAAAAAAAACACACACACACACATGGATAACTAGTTGATAGAAGCCACTAAGCACCCCCACTGACCACCAGAGACACAGAGAGGGATTGTCCATACAAGGGATTCGGCTGGTACTCCAATTTCTTCAACAACTTCACGGATAATGCTGTCAAACATCTCCTGTGAAATCTCTCCGTTAATAGTATTGGAATCTGCAAAACCTTCCACACGGTCATGGGAATCTATTCCCAGCTCCTGGGGCTGCAGATATTAGACATTTTGTTATTGGAAAACAGATGGGCAGGCACAGAAAAGACTTTCTAGTGAGGTAAAAAAATAAACAATAAAAGACAAAGAAGATTGTGTGCATATAAACAAACAAAATACTGCTCTGACTAACTGAGTATTTTTAGTGTAAACAAAAAATCGAACCAAATAATTAAGTCTAATGGTTGCCTTGCTTTGAGGAATACGGCCATATTCAGGCTCTATAAACAAGCCAAAAGATCATCATTTAAAGCTATAAAAAAAATGAAACTCTGAAATTACATAGGGTTTACCTCTGGATGACCTCCTGGAAATACAAAGTGACCTGGAAATTCACCTACATTATTACTCCTCTGCAACAAAACTATTTTTCCATCTGATGTCTCCACAATAGCACCATTACCCAGAGGACTTGCGGTGTGTTGGCAGCAGATAGGGTCGTCTGCAGAAAAACAATTTGAAAGCAAAATAATTGCAAATAATCCATGCAATTTCAATGCGTTTGTGAATTCACTTCCAGAAGATATGCATTCTCTATCATCTAGTTCCTAGAATCAAGGGTGTTTTCTAAAGTAGTGAGTAAGGTTATAAGCTGTACTGATTTACATAGTAGAGTAGCATCAATACTTGAAGGAACTTAACAATGTCCAACACTTGGTTCCTGTATCCAATTCTAGAATCGTGGAGAATTACCTTCGGCTGGAACAAGGAACTTCTCCCAACAAGGACTTAAGTTTGTTCCCACAAAAGTCCTAATAAAAGGAATATGAGAGAAATCATTAATGGACAAAAATAGCTTGTGCAATCACAATGTTATGGTTAGCCTTTTCCTACTAGACACCACTAGAAATAAATTTGAAAATTAGCATGATTGATGTAATTGCAAACAAATTCACGAATAACGAAATTGACTTTTAATTATTGGAACTAATATAATCCTGAATCACATAAGGAACTAAAGTAGTTTAAAAAGCTACTGAAATATTAGTAAGAAGATTATATTCTTTAAGGAAGAGATAAAATATAGGTTCTCAAACAAGGGGGGAAAAATGAAAGAAGTCTTCCTTTTCTAGAGAAAAGTATGGCGGGAGTTCAACTGCCAATATATGAAGATTCGATGGATTTCCAATAGGGCATCACATCCTTCCATTATAATAGCTTCAGGAAATACTTTCTGGAAAACATATGCATATAACTCCTAGGAAATAAAAGCTCTCGAAGGACATCCCACGTCAATATGAAAGGTGAAGTTACAGAATGGAATGATAGAAGTCAAAACAAATTTCAAAATATTAATATTCATCAAATCCTGTCAAATTTGTGAACATATAAATGTAACAGAGATTGAGAAGGACCTATAATCTGTCAAACCTAAGTGGAGGCGTACATGAGAATCTTCATTCGGACAACCTCCTTCACTGTGTAATGCGAATCCTCCATACTGAAAAATGAAAGTTATTGAGAAAAAAATAATAGTCGATACTCTATAACAAAAATAAATAAATAGGTCGATACTCTATAACAAAAATAAATAAATATGTCTAACACATCTGAAAATAGGAGGCGAAATGTTGGTGAACTAATAGAATTATGCTAAACGTTGCGTCACATTCTTTAACTCAAGGATGGGGTTGAATACATCTACTTCCCATTGCTGGAGGGAAAAATAATATAAAAAGAAATTATGAAGACACCTGATTTTATATGTCAAGAGAATTGGCAGTATTGAAGCAGAAATATTAGTTAAACAAAATTTTAAATACAAGCTACTGCTGGACGCGATTGAAACAAATATTTGTTCAATGTTTTGCGATTCAGTTTCCAAATAACGATTAAAAGGTAGATTCAATGTTGACGAGTAGTGATATTACATAAATTATGAATTACGTAATCTATCTAATTGTCAGAAACAAATCAAACCAGCTAGTTAGAGCACAAAATTTAAAAAAAAAATGCAGATAAGCTTAAATCAAAATAAGACAAGCGTACTCTGAACTTCTTTCCATTGAACAACGACGAGTTTGTTTGAAGCCGTTGATCCCAAATCTATGAGCAAAAAGATATGAAGGGAAATTAGGGGGAAAGAGAACTGAAAACCATATCCACATTGTAGTTCTGCAGAGTGAGAGATTTCTAAAGACTTGAGCAACAATAAACTTCGCTTCTAGCCTTCAACGGAAAATATAAGCCAATATTTTGGTACGAACTGGATACACTTGCCTGTACGACTAACAACTCTGACCTAATCAACGTGACAGAGTGTGGCGCTCTAAAATATGTGAAAGACTAGAACAGGATATGAGGATAACATAAATGCTTCCAAAAGCAGGATCGAATTGATTCAACAATTTCAACAGCCTTATGAATAAATCCTTCCCCAGCATTGGCTTAAAACGAAGTTTCTACAGCTACAGCGTAAGAACAGCCACGAAAAAACGAAAAATTACAGTAAAATCTTGTGTCTCACCTCAGAAATGGAATCCTCCAAGCTATTATCGGGATGCGGAATCCTATCGTACCTCTCGCTGAAAGCTACGGAAACCTACCAACCGAGAATTACAGATATGAATCAGAAATTCAATTCTGAAATGCGCATATGAATCAGAAACAGGCAATGTATGGATTCGGAGAAAGCGGATGGAAAAATAGAGGACCTGTGATGGAGGAAGACCAGATGGACATGCGATCAGAATCTTGAACGGGGAGCATGGTTCGTCCGCTGCCTTCTCCATTCCAGAGGTGCACTGTAGAAGAGAAGAATTGCTAGTAGTACGATGCTCCTATGAAGACGACAAATATAGTCTAAAGCTGGGAAAAACAAAACGGAGAATTAGCCCGCCAATGGTGTTTCTACATTAATTTCTAATGGAAAAAAAAAAAGTAGAAGATGATGAAAATTGAAAACACAGAATTGCCCCTGAAATTATTTTTCCTATTAAAAAATAAAAATACATGTTTACCCAGTAGAGATGGAGAATCCCTTTACAAAAAAGGACTATTTTAGTCTTTTTATCAAATTTGTAAATTTACAAAAATGACACTTGCAAACTAATACATAAGGTAGTGGTAGTTTGGTACTACTTACTACTTAGCACCTAGCTACTTGGAAGTTAACACAATTTAAGAAACAAAATTAGAATTTTGTTAATTTATAAGAGGGAAAAAAGGGGGGAAGTCACATTGCACCTCAATATTCCAACTTATCTTCTCCTTTTCCTTTCCCGTGGAATCACGATCATGGACCAACCTTTGGAATTTTAGGGATGTAAAAATTTTTTCACAAGTAGGGTGTCCAACAGGAAGGGAGAAAATTCCCATTTAAAACAGGGTTAAGATTAATTAGGGCGATAAGAATAGGAACATCTGATCTCAAAGAAATGAATTATATATATTTACTGTTGAACTATGTCAACGTTGACATATTAATTCTCTAAATGGATGACTAATAAAAACAAAGATTACAAGTTTTGTAAAGCCAGAGATGAGGACCCTACCCTATTCACTAGGTGTCAAACTATTAGAATTCATTAGGAATAGAAATTTTATTGATTCTTGCAATTGTTATCTATATGCTACGAGTAGGTTTGCCACATGACATAAGACTAAAGAGTCGTGTAATGCAGTCGTTGATAGATGATCGATGTACAACTACTCTCACTCCAAGTCAAGAAAGATTGACCTTAGAGCATGCAAGACACAACCAAACACGCCAACCCACAAGTAAAGTCCAAACACAAGCCTAATTAATATTAGAATAAAATGATCAAACATGGACTAGCAATGAGACCAGACGGAACATGTGTACAAACTAGTAGAATGCACATACGGACATGTACGAATAAAACCCCAATTGCATAATCGTCGTAATTAAGACCACTATAAATGGCATAATAATAATTGTATATATACGAGGTATGCAATTAGAATATGGTTAAGCACAACCTTCTCTTGTTCGTTTTCTAACTTGTGCATCAGAGTTACAATGAGCTTAATACTTTACCGATGCTAGATTCCCTTCGTCACACAGATTACTCAATAACGAAATATGCTTCTTTGGCAACGAATAATAATATATCTCTTATTGGAATCACACATCAACAATATATAAGGTTAAATATGGGGTTTTATAGTTTATAATCCATGTTTGGTAATATTCTCATTTACTATTTTTAATAAAGAAAATAGAAATGCATTGCTAACTACTTTTTTTCTTAAGGTACAAATTTTTCTTTATTGCTCTTTAAAATTTTAAATTCAAAAAGTAGAAATTTTATATGAAAATTAATTTTTAAAATTAAATTTTAAAATTAAATATTCAATTTATAGGTTATTATTATTTTTTAATATGTATTATTATTTTATAAGTAAAGAACGATAAAAACAATATTTTTATTTATATTCCACAATAATTTGGAAACAGTAGCTTGTTATTTCAAAATTTTCTATACAATTTTAGAAACATTTCAAAGAAAAAAAAACAATAAACCTAGACAATTACCAACGTACTTTTAAGTTTCTTAATAAATAGGAAAAGAGAAACTAGAAACAAAAATGTCACCCAACTAGTCTAACAATTCGGGGATTTGCATGAGATATGTTTGGTTCATAAATATATCATTATATCATATGCATATAATGATGATGTATGAGACTGGAAATAGAATTGAAATGGTACTTCATGAGCAGGGTCCATGGAGTTAATGTAAAAGGTTCAATATTCAGCTACCTGGTTTTTGGTTGCCATTGAAATTGGATACATCATGATTTTTATTGTAATGGTAATTAAATATCGGAACGGCCTCTCTTTCTCTCTCTAGAGCCTACACACAGAACTGCTCCGCTGTGATTTTGGTCGTGTCCATACAGAATATCAAGAATTACATGATTGAATTTAATGACACCCGCCGTGACCAGTGACCACACCACCATATTTTTAAACTCTTACCTTTATAACATGACACCCACTCTTCTCTTGCCACGTGTCGTCCTCCTACACGCCTGTTTTAAAGCCAACGACACCAATGGGTTTTCTTCTGTAAGCCCGCCCGTCTAGACTATTCTCATTGGCGTATAATTTATTTATACAATTAAATCATTTGAAAATAGTATTTAATTCGATAATTGGTTGAATTACTCATGTTTGGATTTCCACAAGTGTCATATCATGTTCTTTGATAATTATGTTAGATTAAGATAAAATGTTGATTGATATCCCTTTGATATTGATTGCACAAACCCAAACGAATAAATCAACCTTTCTCCTTCTATTTCTAAAATTGTTTCTTCTAGCAACTTTTACTTGATTTATAAATTAAGATTAATCTAACAAAGCGTGATAATTAAGAAAAAAATAAAGTATTGTTTTTCTTTCTTTATCTTAAAAATGTTTAATGACTTTCACGTGATTTATAAAGGCCAAGATTTCACAATCTCAAACGTAACCAAAAGTGGATATTTGGAAGCTATCATGAAAAGTAATCTTTTTCAATAGTATTTTTGACAACAACTTTTAGGTGAATCGTGAAAGTTAGAGCCTCACACACCAAAACACAACCAAAAACAGATACAAAAAGAAAAGAAAAGAAAAAAGGTTAAATTTTCTCTCATATTTTTTAAAATTTGTTTCTAACAACAACTTGCACGTGACTCATAAAGAGTAGGGTTCACAAACCCCATAATTCAAAAAATAAAAAGTCAAAAAGGAAGGCAAAATAGCTAATAACTGTTGAAGACACAATTTAAGTCAGCCAGGTGGAGATGCCCACAAATATTTAGACAAAATCAATTCAAATACTTCTCACTCCAAAAAAAAAATAAACAAAATAAAATATATATCCTCTAGAATGTAGTAGGGTAGGGAATGTGTGTATTTTCATTACAGTGGGCAGGAGCAACAAGAACATAACAACAACAACAAAACAAGTTTCACTGTTTTTCCACATATCGCCTGTTTGGTTAGGAGTAAAATCCTATTCCTTACGGGAAAATAATAACACCACCTCCACCAATAGAATACAATACACATACAATACAACAACAAATCCAAAGATAATTAATTAGGGAGGGGGAGAGAGAGAATTTACCAATTTTCCAAAAAACAAAAACCCCAATTAAACCCATTTTCTTTTCTTCTGTTTGTACTTGGTTTTGAATGCTGTGCAGAATTCACTAACTCACTCAGGTAATTTGAAGGTGGCTATGTCCTCCTGTTGAATCCACCCATATTTCTCAAGAAACGGGTTCGCAAGAGACTCCGGTGGGTAGCTATCAATGCAGTCCCCCCAAACATTGGCGTCCCCCAAATCCCTCACCACTTCCCACAAACAGCTGTTGCATTTAAACCCCGCGCCGAAGCTTATCATCAGAACCCTCTCCCCTTTTCTCAGCCTCTTCTTCGCCTCCATATACGCCAGCACGTACCACAGGCTGCTCGCGGACGTGTTCCCGAACCGGTGGAGCGTCATTCGAGCAGGTTCAAGGTCGTACTCCGTCAGGCTCAGGCTCTTTCCCACCCCATCTATCACTGCCTTCCCCCCGGTGTGCAGGCAGAAATGCTCTGCCCCGGCCCGGAAGTTCGCTGCTGGCTTTGGCCGACGCAGCTTCGACGACCCGGCTGAGGTGATTTTGTGTAGTATTGTGAGGAGTGCTAGCCGGAATATCTCCGTTATTGGAAGGATGTTGGGTGATATTTCTCTTAGGTTGTCTGTGAATGCTCGAGTTGCTGCCTTTGGGAGGTTCTTTCCTAGATAGATACCTTGGAGAAATAGAGGAGAATTAACGAAGAATTAGAGCAATAATTAGAGAAGGGAATATTTGAGATGGATATAATTATGATGTAAAGCTTAGTCTAGTTTAAAATTTTTAATGATTCTACTTCCCTTTAGTATATAAACATTTATAGTTTAACATTTGCATTGATTTAGTCCCCTATATATTTTTGGGGGTAAAATCTCATTAACGTCAAAAAAAAAAAAAAAAACTAAAATATATATATATATATATAAAACTATTTATTCTCATCACATTTTAACAAGATTTTTCAAGGAAGTACTAAATTGCTACGTATATACTCTAACGGGGATGACACAGTGGCAAGGACCTTCGATCTTATGGTATCACCTACTAAAAGATAGTGAATTTAAACCTTGCCCTTTATCGAGCAAAAAATTACTACGTAATGAAGTATTAAGCAATAAATCATTTCTTTGGTAAAGGTATAAGAAACAATGTAATTGTTCACCAACTGGGAATTATTGAGAAGAAAGTTATCAAATCCATAAAAGGTGTCAAATGAAGTAAGATTTCTACACGTAGAAATTTAAAACAAAAATTATTTAGCCACCCATTTTGGCAGCTCATGTGATGTCTCTCTATGAGTATTCAATCTATAAACAATTAATATTTCAAAAGAAAATTGTTAGAGACTTTATTAATTACTGGTTTTTCTTTCTTACCTAGGTTGCCTTGGTCATCTTCCTTCTGAACGCAACAACCAAAAGACTCGTCGAGAGCTCCATGGTGGGTTCTCACCAGACACTTGAGCTTGAACATGGCTTTGTTTTTCAAACTCCTTTTGTTTGTCAAAAGTACGGCGGCGCCGCCCGTTCGGAACAAACAGTTGGCCAGAATCATCGACCGCTCGTTACCCGAATACCAGTTCGGAGTTAACGACTCGGACGTCACAACAATGGCGTATGAATCCTTGTATGACTTGAACATTCGCCTCACCAAGTCCACGGAAATCAGGCTCGCACTGCACCCCATCCCGGTCAGATTGAACACTTTAACGTCTTCTCTCATCTTGTACCTATTATTTTCCAAGTTCGTTAAACCGATAAGATTCACCGTTCTGAGTAAAGAGCAAGTTTCGTAAGTTTAAAAACTATATTTAGAATCTGCCTCAAACAGTTATTAGGAGGCAGACAGATTTTGAACTTACATCCAACGATGGTTAAGAAACAACTGCGTTGAATAATTTTTGATGAGTCTTAATGAAGTACGAAATAACGTAAAACCTGTTAATGATCCTGGAGGCGAAAGAAGGAGAAGTGGTCATCAAAGAGATGTTGACAACAAGGATGTCTATTTCGGAGGGGGAAACGCCGGACTTGTCGAAGAGCTTTTGGAGGGAATCTTGGAAAAACTCTTCCATTTCAGAGATGGCGTCGAGTAGAGAAGGGCGGTGTTCCGTGGCAGAGAAGACGACGCCGGGCCCGTAGGTTTGCTCGCCGATGCCGGAGTTGACGACAGCTTTGAGGAGGAATTTGAACTCTTCAAGGCCAAGATTTTTGGAGCGCATCATAAGGTCTCTGCAGAGCTCAGTGCCCAGCATTCTGTCGTCGGTTGGTTTGAAGCATTGGTAGTCTAAAATATAGCATTGTTGGTCCCTCTTTGCATCAAAATGCTTCCATATTTTCACAAGCAAATAGAGTAATGGAAGAGCAAATAGTAAGACCAGAGGCTCCATGAGAGAAATGGAGAGAGGGAGAGAGTTTTTTGGAGCTGCAAAAATGGAGCAATAATGTTGAGAGGAAAACAGAGCGGCTCTTAATTTATAAGAACAGAGCACAGTAGGTTTGAAGGAGTAGAAAGTAGGAGTTTTGTTTGTGTACTTTTGGCTGGTTAAAAAACATTTTTTTAGTATACTTTAAAGTATACTAAAATTTTAGGGGTTCTTTATTTTGGAAGTTGGGCAATAAGTTCTATCTCATTGAAAACAATTTTCAAAATTTTGGTACAAGGTTTAGGACATGTTTGGAAGTAGTTTTCGATTCGGCTAGAATCACGTTACTCATACTAAAATTATTTTCGTTTTAAAATAAAACATGTTTGATAGTGATTCATTACTGAACTTTGAGTAATTTTCCGAGTGATTTTTGGTTAAAAAAAATAATAGGAACTATTTTAAAATGATTATTGTTTTAAATTTAACATAGTTTTCATTTTTTGAGATTCTTCTTTCTAAAATTATTGTCTCTCTAACTTTATTTATTACTAAATAATTTACCCTCTAATTGTTTCTCTCTAAAATTTTTATAATCTCTGAATTCTTAGTCTCTATCACTTTTTAAAATTTTTAGGTTATTTTTATCTATGGCTCTCTAAAATGTTTCTCTCTAAAATTATTGAGATTGGTTATTTAGTTGTATATATCATGTTTTTTCATCATAATTACTTTCAATAAATGGCATTAAATGATTTTCACATATATGTTATTAATTTGGTGATTCTAGATCACTTTTGAAACCAAATATTAATCCTTCCAAATCAATTTTTCTTTTTAATCAACACAGAAGATGGAAATAAAACAAGATGCAAAAAGGAGAAAACAACTAATAGACACCATAGAGCAGCTTTGGATACAAATTATCCACGATAGATGGATGGCGACGCCACCGCCAGAAGCGCCAAGATATGGGCTGCTGAATTTTCCTTGCGGTTCATGAAACTAAAGACGCTCATAATATTCTTTTAGTAAAGAGATACTTTCAGGGAAGAAATCAAAGCCACAACGTTCCATTCATCCACCGCATCGTTATTCAAGAGATTGAAAAACCCCAAACGAATCAGTTTTCAGTTTGAATGGATTCTCAAAGTGAGCTCTGATCTTTTCGCAATCCCAGCTGCAAGTTGGGGTTCAAAGGTCACACGCCTAATTATCAAATTGCATCGTCGGAGGGGATAGTAGGAAAGACCCTCCATTTTGGTACCCATGGATCAGAATAAATCCGGATGTGGTCTCTAGAGCCCACTCGCCAACGGAGCCCCGAGCCTAGCGAGTCACACCCTCACAGTAGGCTACGCCAAATGAAGGAGGCATTCGAACCTAGCTTGGCATCAAGAAAACCACTGGTCGGAAAATATTTATGCTTCAACACACGTGCAAGAAGAGAGGAGGGGTGATAGAGGAGATGGTAGCCCTGCTTGGCCAACAAAGCCCGGTTAAATGCACCAGATCTCAGAAATCCAAGCCCCCGAAACATTTAGGCAAGCACTTTCGTTTCTAACTTACCTAGTGTATTTTACGATCTGCCTCAATCTCGCCCCACCAGAAGCGGACCATTAGCATATGTATCTCATGGAGGAGGCTCGTTGGTAGCATAAAATAATTCATCGTGTAGCAGTATAGCCTCAATAACATATTTAATAAAGATATCATTACCTCCCACTGAGAACAACTTTCCTCTCCAACATTGAAGCTGCTTCCATATCCAATATCCTTAACAAAACGTAAATGGGTTCGCCTATTTTGCAATATAAAGGTCGATAGCTCGAGATATTGATGATGGCATTCTAGCCATCATATCCATAGTAGCAAACTGAAGGTGCGCACCTCTTCTGAAGTATTCTTACTAAAAGTCACTATAGACTTATAAAATTAATTGTCCGCCCCGAAGCCTATTCATAAAGTGACAATAAATCCATAACTGTCTAGCTTTCTGATCGAGACATCTTAAAAAATTAAAGGTTATCATCCGCAAAAAACAAATGGGAGATCGGAGGCCTCGTCCTGTACGAAGAGAGACTTGACAGCATGCCTCTAAACCCGACAATGACCACCATGCTAGAAAGACACTGTGTATATAACAAGAATAAATATTGGGAGAGTGGATCACCTTGTCGTAACTCGCGACTCTGGTGCACCAAGACCAAACGCTCCACATTTATTTAAAAAGAAAACGAAACCAACAAAATACACCGTGCGATCAAGTTTACCCACTCACCAACAAACCCCAACTTCAACATAATTTGCTCCAGAAACGCCCACTTGACCCGATCATATACTTTACTCATATCAAGCTTGAGCGTTGCCCAACCTGTTCGCTTAGAGGATTTCTTACGAAGTGAGTGAATTCACTCAGAGCAAGACTAACATTATCCACTACACACTGACCATAAATAAAAGCACTATTGTTCACTCAGAGCCAAGAAACAATAGAAATTTCATCTAATTCACCAAAGCTTTAAAAATTATTTTATAACTCACATTATAGAGGGACAGAGGCTGATAATCTGACACACGCTGAGGCTGTTTTATCTTCGGCAAGAGCAATGAGTGTCTCATTTAAGGGCTGTTGTACGGTCTAGAACTCTTGTGTGCAAGTGTACACAACCGTTGTAGCAAGTGATAAAAAGATCGTATCCACAGAGATTGATAACTAAACACTTCAACAATTACTAAAATCAAACAAATTAACAAAAATGTTTTAGATAAGGAAAATTGAAGGAACTCAACAAAATAGTGCAACGTGATTTGCTGAGTAAAAACAAGACGGAACCAAGCACAACCAAATCGATTAAAGAAAAGTGTGCAAACAAGAGGTTAACTACTAATATTTAAAAAAGTAAGGGGGAAGAGTTTATGTGACTTCTTATGGGCTCATGTAAACAATGCTACAACATTAATGATGTAATATACTGGCCAAACAGACATGGAATCTTCCCAAATTTCTCAGATTTTCTGTTATTATGTTTTAGGGCAAACATGACAGCATATCAGTACAGTTTATAGCCTTACTAGGTGAGTCTTATTCCTAAGTACCCATGTTCTAAATTCAAGTAGATCTAGCACAAGTTGAAGCCAAAAACTCCTTATTACAATTTCCCAAAAGCTAATAAAGAGGTATTCCAATATGTTGGCCAAACACATTGAAAAACAAACGTTAAAAACAACTTCAACTCAATATATATATTATCACCAATGCCAAAGCAAAGTTTACAGCCCAAGAATAAGTTCGCAACATCCTCCCCCTTACAATAAACTTAGCTACGCAATGTCATACAAGAAAATGGAAGAAGAAAATACAAAACCCGTGCAAAGAAGAAGAAAAGGAAGAAAAACTCAGCCCTTCACTCCCTTTGTTGTCTTATTCGGGTTCCTCTCCAAGTGTCTTCCTTCTTCTCTTATCCTGTTATCTCTAGGGTTTAATGAAGAATGAGAATTAATGGAGGCAACCTTGAAATGAAAGCATTTATACCATTTCTCAATTTTAAGGCAACCAAAATGGATAAAACGGGGCCTAGCTCAATTTAATGGTGAATCTACGTTTTACTATAGTAAATTTTCGGGTAAAAATTTGTAACTGTTAGCTCTGTTTTTTTCTATATTTTTTATTCCAATGCTGCAGCATCAACAATGCTGCATCAAAACATTCAAAATTAGGTCATTGTTCATAACTCTCAGCATTGTCTAATGAGCTAAAGATGTTAATAAATATAAAGCATTATTTGTACAAAATCAGTCTAGATTGGGTGTTAGTGTGGCTATTCTTAGCTAATTTATATGAAATACTTGCACAAATAACTCTCTTTTGGAGAGTTATCAGGGGCTACCGTGACACTTGGTCGTTCAACACTTTCAAACAACATTGAACCACATCAGGACGCACAATATCCCTTTTGACGGCGAATTCTGGTCAAAGGCCACATGTCCTTCGGACGGACATTTCGGCCGAAGAATAAGGGAACCTGAAACCAAAGAACTTGATGCTGGTGCGCTGTCCAGCCTAAAACACTCCGATGATCAAGTTAGTAATCGGAATAAGAAATAGGAAAAAGACACATTAAGTCTGAGTAACAGTTTTTTCACTTACCTAGTGAGGATGAGGGTCCTTCCTTTTATAGCCTCGGACGACCGACTAGGAAGGACGACGGTAAGAGGTGGTAGGGACGCGACGCACTGTACAAAGAGCATCGTGGAGCATGATCTACACAGTCGTAGGGTGGCACCACCTCTTGTAGCTCAGAGCTTGTCTCCTGTAGCTACGGGGCATGCCCGTTGTACCAGTGACGTGCGCCTCTTGCTACAGTTACATATGGTGTCTAGCTGTTTGTGGTCCATCATTCCCTCAAGAGTAGACATGTGTCCTACTTTGCAATACCAGCTTGCTGGAGCAACTGTATGTGGTACCGCGCTTCCAAGTCGGACACGCATCCTGCTTGGGTCTTTAACCCCCAACAGTCAGTCCTCTTTCGGGGCCAGGCCGTTTGTCAGCTAGTGGGCTGGGCCCAAAAGTGTTGAAGAGAGGCAGGGCACGTGTATCTTTATGAATTGGCAGATGGGACCCACGGAACCGACAGTTGCGACGATTAGCCATCAGTACGTATGGCTGCCTTTATGAGAGTACACGTGTCTGCTGCTGTTTTGCGGGCGATCACGCCCTTCAGACTATGCGTTAAGCGGTGGGGTCGGCGATCGCGATTCCCAACACCATTGGGATTCAAAGCGATGCTTTAGAGATCTTTAAATTCGTGATGATTACTCTTTTCCTGCATTCTTAACATTCTCTACGGTTGACCGTCCGAGTGAGAGCCTTATTTGGATCCTGCTGATTGAGGTTATGCTGAACGCACGCACTAAGCGTGGTAACAATTCTATAGATGCAAGCGCACACACCTGTCAGAGTAATATAAAATGGATAGAGTATCCAAGTATCGATCCTCAAGGACTTCTAAATAATTTCCAAACTCTAAAGTTTTAATGAATAGTGAACGTTGAAATGAGTGATTCTTGTAAAATGGGAAGTGGTCACAAATAATGGTTTTGG